GGCCGGGGATGTAGCTCAGTGGTGTCACACCTGCCTGGCAAGCAACCGCAAGGTCCTGAGTTCAATCCCTGGTTCCGCCAAAAAAAAAAAAAAGAAAAAAATTCATTTGTCCTTTGCTGCTTGCTACCTTCTGCCTGCCATAAGCTGTTTGTCTTCTGCAATGCCCCTCTGCCATGACACCCTGCCTTGGAACCAGCCAACTATGCACAGAAACCACTACAAACTGTAAGCTATAATAACCTTTCCTCCTTAAAAAAAAAAAAAATGACACTAAAGGATATACTGCCATTAGTCCGCTCATAATACTTCCCTTTACTTCAAACACTTATCCCATCATTCTTACCACTTTCTGAAGCAGCTCTGGAAGTCCTCTTTCCTGAGTGTCTCTAGTTGCACTGTCGTGGTTGCCTTGATGTCCTGAATTGATTTAAAATGTTTATTTCATGGTCATTTTGACTTTGAGGAAGAGGTAGAAGTCACAGTGCCAGATCCAGTGAATAAGGTGCATGAGAACACACCCTCATGTTTTTTGTTTTTGTTTTTTGGTACTGGGGATTGAACTCGGGACCTTGTGCTTGTGAGGCAGGTGCCAGAACCACTGAGCTAAATCCCCAGCCCCACCACCATAATGTTTTTATGAGCCAGCTTTTCACTGGTAGCACTCGGCGGCAGTACTTTTGATCTTTAGATCACATCTTGTAAAGATACTCACAAAAGGACTTCACTAGTGCTTCAGAAAGTGGCAAGAATTATGGGATAAGTGTTTTGAAGTTAAGGGGAGCATTCTGGGGAGGGAGGTAATGGAAATGTGTCAATGTGTTTACTGTTCTACTTTTTTAAAAAATTTAAACATTCACAGTGTATTCTGATCACACCTTGTAAGTTAACTAAAAAAGGCCAGAACGTTTAAGCTCTTCTCCCAACAAAGGTCCTGGACTCAAGATCTAGGTTTAAAGCTGGGGATTTAGCTTAGTGGTTCCACCGTGTGCCTCGCAAGTGCAAGGACCCAAGTTTGATCCCCGGTACCAAAAAAAAAAAGGTCTAAGTATAAAGAGACTAGAGTCTATCTGCTTGAGAGAACTCTCCAAGAAGACAGAAAT